CTGTATGTCATTTAAAAAATACTTCATCAGAATATAAGGGCACTTTACTGTTTTTAACCTATATGAGGTTAGCGTTTACTTTGAAACATAATTGCATGCAGGTATTTTTCCTCCTGGGGAGTCTTTATTTTGGAGGTGTGACCTGGTAAGGGTATCTGGGCTCCCTGCCCTTTCTCCAGGCTCTGACTAGCCTAAGTTACACCGACCGTTCCAAATGTGGCCTTCATGGGATGCCATTCACCTAGCCCTTCCATACTCAAGGTAACTGCTAGATGTGCATTCTGGGGGCTACTCTCTGAAAGGGGAGAATGTATCAATAAAATATTTTACTAAGCAGTTAAGACAATTTTTGATCTACTTGAAAAAGACTGATATTTCACTTTGAAACTATCACTAATGCAAAAGTTTTCTAAAAAGGCAATGACTTACACTTTCCAAAATTTAGAAATGACTCTCAAAGGACAAAAGGTAACTTTATTTTTACCAATGTGGTTGGAAGAGTGACAATGGGGAATTTATTCTACCAATCTGATCAAGAGATCTTCATGTGGTATTGCCACTTAGACTGTGCATGTGTGTTTATGTGGAGAAAGACAGAAAAGGTTCTATCAACGTTGCTATTTCTAAAATGCTTATTTTTGCCCGCCCACATGCTAGTTATTTACCTATTTATTTACAGTCTCACTCTGTCACCCAGGCTGGAGTGCAGTGGCCTGATCATAGCTCACTGCAGCCTCGAACTCCTGGGCTCCAGTCATCCTCCTGCCTCAGCCTCCTGAGTAGCTGGTACTATAGGCGTGTGCCACCATACTCAGCTAATTTTTTTATTTTTATTTTTAGAGACAGGGTCTTGCTCTGCTGCCCAGGCTGGTCTTGAACTCCTGGCCTCAATCAATCCTCCCAAAGCCTCCTAAAGTGCTGGGATTACAGGCATGAACTACCATGCCAGTCATTTAAATATGATGAGAATGTGCTTCTCCAAAATACCACGTTATTACCTAAGATTTGTTTTAAATATAAGTGTAAGGTAGGTATGAGAAGGTCTTTAACAACAAAATAAATTGATCTAGATTAGGATGTTGTCTGGCATGGCAGTTCTCTAATTCTGAAAGCCTACAATTTGAGCTGGTCATAGGCAAAGGCATATTCATTAATGACATTAGTTTCATTTATAAAAAGTATACACACAATCTAGAGGCTATCTAGATATCCTACAGAAGGAAAGCTGAGTGCCTTCCTTGTATAAAAGGCAGATGAAGACTACAAGGAAGCAGACTCTGTCCCACACTAAAGTAGGATTCCACGCTGAGAATCAGCAAGTTTTCTAGGTAGTTACTGCCACAAGTAGAGTACTACTTTAGTCCTCAAATCATGAGGGAAAGGAAGATAGAAAAGAGGGAGGGACGAGGGTAAATCTAGCATTCTACAGGTAAAAGACAGACCTCATTACAATTGCATTGCTTCAGTGGGCAGGAAAATTTTCTAGCTGGAATGCAATTAAAAATAACCATAACAATAACTTAGGAAGACAATGGAAATCAAGTAAAAAAAGACCTCCTTTAGGTGTGGAAGTCCATCTGTCTCACTGACATAATCATCAACTAGTGGCAACGATACTGGGACTAACTGAAGTTAAGAACTGGGTCACACTGGCTGAAGAGAATCTGGTGCCTTGATTTAGTTTCAGTGATTCTTCAGCACTTATGAAAGCCACTGTGCCCTTTACACGGAAATCCCAAATCCTCTATGTGACAAAAGATCTGAAAGGGCAGAGAATTATGCGAATGTTTACTGCTGGGATGCACCACAGGTTGGACCGAGGTCACTGTCCAGTTGAGTGGAGGCTTCCCCGCGCTGTCCACCAGCCTCAGTTATAAAGTCAAAGAAGCAGAGACGATGAAAGGAATGACCACGGAATTCCTGACTTCTTTAGGAAGTGTATGTCCATAATTTGCATAAAAATAGCATGCACTGTCAACATCAGGGTTAAACTTTGAAACAAGAAAAAAGGGACAACAATCTGGTATTCTTAAGGCAAAACAATAGAAACCTCTTTAAATAGATACTTTATTACATCCACAGGCGATAAAATCCCAGAGCTACTGTTAGGCACGTAAACATAGAACCTGCCAAATATTTAATATTATCAAGCTTGTGCGACTCGAGCATGGTTTTGAGGCCTGCAACCTCAGTTTCTATCTTCCTGTCTGTTTGAGTGAGGGCCTGATCTTGCTGGGCATGCAACGCCATTATTTCTGTTCTTAATTCCAGCAGCTTCTTTTCGTTCATTGAATACAATTCTTTTACTCTGCTCTTTTCTAGATTGAAGTCTAACTTGGTATCTGTTCGGACTTTGACCATTTCATCCATTACTTGTTGTTTTAACTGATGTAGTTCGAGTTTTATTTTCTCATTTTCTGCTCTGAGGGCTGAAAATTCACTCTTCTCCAAAATAATCATATCCTTTTTCACATTAGCAATCTGAGACATTATTTGCTGAAGAGTGATCTCCTGCTGCATCTTGGTGACCATGTCTTTGTAGACGACATCCATGTTGGCCTCCATGATCTTGACCAATGCAGATACAATGATTTCTGCTTGTTGAGTAGTAAACCCATTGTCTTCAAGCAAGCACGCTAAGGCATGGGTGTCAAAGTAGAGCTTCCTACTCCCAGAAGAGGTGAAATCTCTCCTTTTGCGCTCCAGCTGCAGGTACCCAGCAGACAAGCTTAGCTCTCTCCTGCAGGAAGCGAGGGTGGCCGCCGGGCCGTGGCAAAGGTGAAGGGCACCGGCGACGCCCGGGACGAGGCCCGGCTGGCACCTCCCCGCGCCGCTGCGCCCGGCCAGCGGGGCGGCGAGCCCAGGGCGGGAGCGCTCCCAGTCCCATGATAATTGTATTCTTAAAAAGACAAATATAACTCAGTTTTGAAAAGATGTATTTTACTAGTGAATTAGAAAAAAATGTGTTCCAACTTAAAAACTAAGGATGTATTTATAATAAAATTGGTAAAACCAATATTAGATTCTTCATTTGTCTGCTTTTAAGACAGTGACTTCTCACAGGATAAATTGGTCTAGTCACTTATAAATTGTGACCTCTCTCAGAGTCTATTTACCTACTAAAGAAGCCTCAGATCATTTTTGATGGGCAGGCAACCACTGCAGAAAGCTATGTAGTAGCAGTGGTTTCAGGAA